ACGGGACTTGGACAGCAGAACATACGTCTGATACGTCGGAATCATGGCAAGTTTGGTCATTAGAGGCAGACTCATGTACACGAGTTTCTTGCTGGCATGATTGCTGGTTGGTGGGTGTTGCGAGTGACCTGAATGATCGCCAGAACAGGTGAAGATCACCGAGCTCTATCACCCTACAGAGACTTGGCAGAACCGGGGGGCGTGCGGCGGTCTTGGTGTCGAGGCTCAGAGAAAGCGTTGCTGCGGTGCCTGTGGGAGAAATGGACATGGTGGTCGTTTCACAGTGTCGCTCTTGGAATCGGAAAAGGGCTTCAACCATGCTGAGAAGGGATTTATATAGACCCCCCTGGCAACCAACCACCATCCACCACCCCAACCACTTTAATCACCTTCACCACATGGTGCTCATTGAATCCGGTCGTTCGAACACCCCTCCCCAGGCCCCTGCAGTCCCACGTCCAACTTGCGACCCCTTCCGGGATGGACTCTCCCAGTTCTCGTCCAGCTCCAAGGAGGCCGTCAATTGCCGACTCAAGAGCATGAGGCGATGCGTGCATTTTCCTGTCTGGGTGCGTTTGGAACTCGGGATCCAGGAAGGTCACGATAGTCACAATTTGGGCGGTTTGGGGTACGTGTCTTTTACTCATTCGGCTTCGGCATTGCTGCTCGCGCCCATCAGACTTGTGCTTTTTTTTAAATCTACCGTCCCCGGAGGCCTGTCAAGCGCTGTGAGGCTCAACAATGAAGCCCAAGAACCCCAACAGAGACCATCAAATGTGACTTGAGATTGATCCAGGGATGAATATACTCAATTCCTGGTGGGAACATGGTGATCACAACCAAGATTCACATTGGATGGGCACAATTATTGCGAAGGAAGTAGTGGGATGGGTTAGGATTTGATCTTAGTGGGAAGCCTGGACCCTTCAAAATCGATCATGTGTAAGATTGGGACCGGACCCGCCAAATTCATGTTCTTTGAGATTGTAACTATGATAGTAACTATGATTTCTTTCAGTTATGGGAGCCTCGGTGCCCAAGCTGAGCTCGTTCTTGACTTCCACCCAGGTTTTTCGGGCACCTCCCCCACGGCCACCGCTTCACTTTTACTGAGCTCCAAACGGTTCTCGTGCAGGAGGGGGTCATGTCCCCAGGGAGTCCATCACCTTTTCTAGCCCCAAAACCTCCGCTCTGGACCTCCGGTTCACCGCGCCGCTTCACGTTCACGCGGACGAAGCTCGCTGCTTCGCCCGTGTACGGTCACCGCTGAAACAGGGGATTGGTGCGGATTGGATTTTCCACTGCGGGCTCCTCGCTGATCCTGGGGGAGAGCGAGGCCGGAGGAATGGGGTCCTTATGGGAGGTGTTTCAGGTCGGGTGTCGTCGGACGGGAGACGAGGTTGGTCCGTTCAATCATTTGGATTCTTCGATGAGGACCCTTTTTTGACTCTCACCTACTTCAGGAAGGCATGGAAGGATTTACAGCGATCGGTGGGCACCTCAGAAAACATGGATAACATTGTTTAGGTTGGGAATCCCAGGTGTTGCAGGGTCTTCCATGAATAGCAGGGAGTTTAAGTAAGTGCCCGTATAATGGGCCCGTATAGTTCTGTTATGTCTAGAGAATGGGAACCAGGCGTTTGGTTTGTCGCTGGCTTTGCAGTTGGATGCCTCGCAAAGGCTGGTCTTCTTTGGGTTTTGACCAGACTGCATGAAGATCAGCCTCCTTCTGCACATATCGGCGTGAAGAATTCTCATGCGGTTTAGCAAGGGTCCAGGTGGTTGTTTTGGGTAATTTGTAAAGACTCACTCACTGTAACCTGAGTTTGTGTGTGTTCACTCTTAACCTGTTGGTTGAGATTGCTCCTTACTACGCACATCCTGTGGGATGCTTGAGCAAGGCAAACAAGGTGTCGCAGAACAGCAACACATTGTTCTTCATGTTTCCTTGATGTCACGGTGTCATTGACACCTTTAACTCAAGATTTCGTTACATGTGTTTGCTAATGTTTTGGCCTTGGCTTTTGCCAGAAATTCGGATCTCTATCAAGTGCGACCCCCTGCTCAGCGGATGAGCTCATACACTGTCCGAGATGAAAAGCTGCTACGGCAGTAGTAGCCACCTCAGAGAACCAACACGACACCAAACACACAAAACCTGAGAAGAACTTAATATATCATGCATTTTATATAATGTTATATATGAAGAATTCCCAGACCATCTATGGTACATATGCTTACACATTTACCTGATGTTTGACCCCAAACATGTAAGTAACTCTTCCAGTCCGGATCCAAGACCAGCAACTGATCGAACACCAAGCAGCGCCACCGGTGATGACCACGGGTTGACACACACCGAGGGCTCCGTCTACTTCGACACCGAGGGCCTCTTCAGCGCCGGCAAGACGAAGAGCCCTGGGAAGTGCTCCAGGTTCGGAAAGGATCAGGCGCATGGACGACGTGGCGCACGGACGTGCCGCACGGACATATGGCTTTGGGTCAAAACAGAAACACCTCGTTTGACCACCAGGAATGAACAGAATAGACTACCTGGAAGTCAACCTACCCTGGTTTGGGGCTCGGGGTTTTGACCCGCAGCCATATTACAGACTTGGAAGCTGGAAGCCTCGAGAGTTGGAAGTGGAGAACTCGTGGGTTTCCCTCAAAGATCCATGTGAGAAGGTGGTGCTGTGTGCATTAATTTGGCTAATTACTCATCCAAGCGGAGGAATCTTCGAACCAAAATTCCAACATCAAGCATTGCAGCATGTCCAACAGTTTTTTGGTCGAATGCAGGTCCCCCTAAGTCAGAGTTTTGGGAAGACGAAGGCTTGAAGGCTTGAAACGTTTGAGAAGGATTGGTTTATAAATGAATGAGTCAAATATGGGAGATGTGATGTATTTGCATGTATATACACTGAACAATCCCACTCCTACGCCGAAGAAGTGGGATTCATGCATGATCCGAAGACCTTGGACCTTGATTCATGAGCAAAGAGGTGGGACCTAGCGATGATGCAGAGCAAGGCTGAAGAAGACCTGAGAGTCTCAAGAGTGGGGTGATCCCAAAGCAATGCCCATACCATCCATGCATGCCCTATTGACCTACATTGGGGTGCTTCTAGGGGTCAATGTAGTTGAATATGCCAGTCCCATGGATGGTCATGTGAAACCATGTCCTTTCTGACAACTCCTTTGTCTTTGACCTACCCACCGACTGAACCCTGTCGCCATCGTGTCTGTCGCCATCAGGGCATCGCCATCGTCTTGAACTTGGATGACAAGAGCCCGCACGCGAACACGGTGCGCCTCCCCCGCGCGGTCTCGGTCTCGGTCTGAACACCAGCCGTCGTCCCAAGATTGATCTCCAATTCTCAGGCATCCCCGGTTCTGTGGATTTGGAGGGCATAGATTGGGTATACCAACAGACTCTCTGGAAGGTTTCTGTTTTCAGGTCTCAGCAGTCATGAAAACCTCTTGATTTTTGCCCCGTTCCACGTCTTCGACATGGACGCGTTGCTTCAGACCAACATGGCAAGACTAAGCCTAAGCCGCTCCAGCCTGAATCCCTCAAAAAGATCTGACGCAGAGGTTTAAAAGATCTGACGCAAACCTCTGCAATGAATTGCAGAATGCACAATCATGCACATGTGTTTTGCAGTCTTTCTTCCATGTTCTGTGGGGGGTTGGTCCATCTTCTTCGCGAGTCAGTCCGGTCCTGGTCGGCGCCCCGCATCGCGGCCTGGCGACCAGGTGAGCCTTTTCAAGGACGGTCAAAGGATTTGCAAACCGCAGAAGCTCCCAGCCACTTGCGCTGGGAGGTCATGTTGGGTGGAGGGGGGCCGGTTTCTCTTCAGAGCAGCCGGGGCACCTGTGGCGTGGGGGAGAAGGTCTAGTTTTCGTCAGGGAAACCAACACAGAACCCGCCAAATGAAACAAAGACAGCTTTTGGGCGGCGGTGGCCGAGTGCTGTGCTGTTGGCGTCCAACCCGAGGTCTCCAGAAAAGATCCTGGTTGGATGGGATCAACGAAGATGTCGAATCCAAACTGATGCCGCCGTAATGTGATGCTGGAAACATGTTTCAGGTGAACGTACGATACCGTTGGATCCAACGAGCCACTACAGCTCGCTGATCGAAGGGCATGGAAGGACATGAAGATTGCTTTGAATAGCTCATTGGCGTTTTGTTTCGCCCAAGCTTGGGAGCCCTAAGTTTCAACACAGGTTACAGGTTTGTCAAAATATTCTAATCGAGAGGTGACCTGTTTCAAGATGTACAACCATGGAACTTCTTAAACAGACTTGTGCCTCGATGAACACCTCTCAAGAATAAGGTCTCATTGCCCGTCGAACACTTGATTTGCCGCATCGCCGAAGCGTTCACTGGATCTACGTTTCACAAGAATTGGTGGATGAACTCTTGCACTATCTTGCACTACCGCAAGCACTCGAGAGAACAAGGATGAATCAATTCCATCCTAAAAGAACATCAGAACAATTCAGAACCGCTGCACTGAATTGTACAGTATATTTGTCCAAGAAGATACATATGGAGACCATCAGCGGAGTCTTAAAGGTTCATTCGACGTGTCCAGTAACAGGTTCATTAGACAGATTTAGACATTCAGCATCTAAGGTGGCCAGTTGTTTGCTCTGTCCTGTGAAGGATTGTGTGCACATGCACAAGGAGGACCTATATAAGGACCTGGAAGACATTGTTCACCAATCAGATCGTTCAAGATCCCTCTCCAAATCAACGCAACCTGAAGGAGTCGTTCGGAATAAGTACATATAAGTACAATATCGACTATTTCACATGTTGAAACGGGTGAAATGAAATCATATCGTCACACCAGTTTCAGGCGGTTTTGATCGGTTCGTCGTTGGGAACCGATAGACCGCGCCAGACGCGCGTCCTTGTCGTCCTTGTCGTCCGTCTCGTTGTCCGTTTCGCGTGGACTGGACTTCGTGATGCTGTTCCACCGCTGTCCGGGCGATGGCACGCGCGCCATCGTTGGCAGTGGTGGAGCTCAAAAGCTCACGCGGCTGGCTGGAGACGCTGCAGACCTTTCGAGAGGTGAGGGACAGAGGGAGCGAACGTGAAGTAGCACGGTAGTCTATCACATGTGGTGAGAATCATGAACTGGAAGATAGAACCTGGAGTATATATGTTATTTTCTTTTTCTTAAGCCGATGTATGGCACCTGCCATGTTTACCTACAAAGCATCCTTATACTCATTTTTTTTGTTTTACATGTTAGTTTTTCTTTCTTGAGTGTAAGCAATGGGTGGTTCACCGCCCTCCGCATGGTTGCAAGGGAAATGACAACATGTAATGTCGGCGGGACAATACCCCCACCACCTCCAATTGATCTGGAGGAGTGATCGATTTTTGGTTGAATGTCATCCCCAAGACCAAATCTCTATGTGAGGAGAGATCGCAACATCTAAATGTAGTCTTGCATGAAATTGGGCGGCCGAAGTATTTGGGCCCAATTGAGCGGTTCTGACATCCAAGGCTTGAAAACTGGCCAAAAGGATCCAAAAGGTTTATTGAGTTCTGCTTGGTATTGCAGGTAAAAGTTTGGCAAAATTCATCCAAGAGGATTTGGTTTTTGGGTGTTGCAGGTCCTGCGTCGTCGCGTGGAGCCAAACGTCATCGTTTATGGCGCTGCGATCGGCTCCTGTGCCTTGGGTCAGTTGACATGGTCGTTTATTGTGTTTGTTGGGAGGTGCAGCAATGCTGGCCGACAAAGGTTATTAGATCTAGCTAAACGGGTCGGTTTGACTGGAAAAGACTGGAACAATTCCGTCCTATCTTTGTTTGGCTGCCTAACAAGAAGGACTGGGAGACCACGACTTTTTCTTGGAAAGTTGACTTCTACCTCCATGGTAGTCAACAGTGCTTTTTGTTTGTAAACCATTGGTTGTGCAGGTGCGATTAATTGCAAAATATTAACTGGGTGCTTTTTGAGACTGTGAGTTCTAACTTAGATGCAACCGCGTGGTCTCCTTCCAGAGACTAGCCAGTCATGGGTCACACAACGCAACAGTTTTGGATGACAGTAGGACACATGGCTTTCCAATTCCAAGAAATTGAAAGCCACGCTTTGAAGACTTCTTTGCGTTGGAACATGTCCAGCTCCGATTTTAGGTAATACTCATACTCTCGCTAATTTTGAGGGAGGGATGCCAGCATCTCAGATCCCCATTCCCTCCACCTGCAGCAACTGGCCAGTGTTTGCTACATTACTACATGACCTAGGTTTCTGTTTGAGCAGGATTAAGGCCTTACTTACTATATAATCATATAATCAAAGCAACTATAGTACCTCACTCCATAACAGCACATCCTTCAGGTTTTGATGGGAAAGTGCCAGAGGTTGTAAAACTTCAAAGGTATTGAAAAAAGGAGCACAACTATGTTTGACTCGCTTGATTTGTCAGAAACTGTGAGCAGTCTTCACTTGTGGTTTACTTGTGGCAAAGGATCTCAAGTATGACTTTTCTTGTGGATTATTTGTGGGGATTGATCTGAAGTACTACTTGTACGTGTGTTACTTGTGGGCCAAATTCGCAAGTGAAAGTTTTACTCATGGCATACTTGTTTGTTGTTGCTGGCATGTTGCTCTGGCTGCACAGAAGACAGAAGCTGACGTTCAGCCAACTATGTCTAAGACATAGCTGCCCTGAGACTTGTCAATGCTTGGATCCAGCCAAGCAACTTTTCCACCATCTTTGGATCGTTTGCATCATCTCCTCACCTTTTTTTCAGCACCCATACATCCGGCAAGGCGGTAAAGGCGGTGCACCACACGCCACACAAAGGCGGAGCAAACAACAATGTCCGCCTTTTGCTGGTGTTGAACTTTGCATGGGCGGGGTATGTACAGGTACAGGTGGCATATGGGTGTGGTCCGCTGCACCCATCTTGCTGGTTATGTTGAACTTGCTGGTAGCTTGCTCCAGCTACCTTAGTCTCAGCTACTGCAGGTCCGCAACCTGTCGGTGCAGCAGTTGCGCAAAGTCTTCTGACCCATGGGGTCCTTCATGACCACTTCTGAAAGCACTCTCCCGAGTTTCCTCCTGCGCTACGCGCATTGGGCCCATCGAGCCCTTTTGGTTCTTTGACATGGCTTCCGCTTGAGTGCGCTGGGCTTTTTCAAGACTTGTGTTTTTACCCTGGGTGAACTCTTGGCTTTGGGTGAACTTTGGCCTTAGCCGCAGCTTTACTTGCGGCAGGCTTCCGCATGGGAGTCTTAGGCTCAGGTGAAGGAATGACTTAAATTTCAACAATTCACTTTAATAAATTGCAAGGACAACTGCAACACCACAAGCACACACCACAAGTACTCTCATGTACAACCCGAGTACAGCGCAAGTACATCAGTCCTCACAAGAAAAAAAAACTTAATTGTTCCTAAACGTTCTTGAATTCTGAAGAAATTCATAAATTTGCTGAATAGTTGATAAGTTTGTGAATTTTGATGCAGAATACTGCATCAAGCTGACGACATTTGCAAGTTCTACATAAGGACTGATGTATTGAAAGCTGCACCAATTTTTCATCAAACAACGTGAATTGGTCATTAATGTTTCTGGTTTTAAAGCACACATGTTTTTTTCTTTTTTGACAGCTTTCAAGAACTTGTCATGATAATTTGATCGATGTCTAACCATCAGCTGTCAAGTGTTCATTCAGGCTCATCCCATGTCCAGCAAGTTGGGCTTCTGTTTTTCCATCTTGTACCTTTGCACTAGCTAGGCTTTTTGCCTCAGGTAAGCTCTTTGCCTCAGGTTTACAAGGAACAAGGTCAGTGCAGGCTCACTTTATGGGTTTTCTAAGTTCTTCCTCACTGGCAGGGACCAGAAGTCTTGTCCAAGCAGAGTTCAATGCGGACTTGCCCCTCTTTGCTGAGCATCCTGAAGACTTTGCAATTCAATCTCGATTTTGTCCAGCATGTCATCCAACTCGCCATTCTTGGCCACATTCACTGTCAACAGATTTCAAAAGCTTGTTGCTATGCAAAACATGCAAAGCTTGGCTGGACCAAGGGTACAGACCAATTGTCACCTGTCTTCTTGCAGGTCATGTAGTTCTGAAAACATCTTGGATCTGAGAGACAGTGATCATGGGGTCAGAAAACCAACCTAACTTTGGACACCTCTCAGCCTTGCTTTAGATGATCGAGCCACCGAGTCCATGCGCTCAGCCGCTGCTTCAAGGCAGCCAGTGGAAATGAAAGAAGCAGTCTGCCGGAGGTAGGTCTGCTTGTGCCAATCTTCAAACCCGATAATGGCAACTTTGAGGTTTCTCCCATAGGACAACACATATTGCTCAAGTACAAAGGATTGTCTCAAGTGCACAATGTGCTTTCATGTGTCAGGAGAAAGAGGTTTCTCAAGTAAGGGCATGTGCTCTCAAGCAACGTGATGCTGATGCTGCTCCTCAAGGAAGAACATGTTGTCCCAAGTATATAAGGTGCTGCTGTTTCTCAAGTAAGGGAAGTGTCTCACCCGAACCACGCCTGAAAAGATATGGGCGTGTCCGAGTCTGGCATGAGTTCACCGGGAGAACGCTCCACTGGAGTGCAAAAACGTGAACAATAAGTAATCATAGAAGCATGTATGGAGGGAGGCGCCCCCCATGTTAAAGGTGGCAATAGGGTTGGTATACCTCAAACCTTTTGAAGCACAACCATTGTAATTCAACATGTCATGGAACCTTCCATTGCCTGCTGGCTTCTCGGATGGTTTCTGGGGTTCGCTGTTTTTTAAAACACATCCACATGGATCGGTTTTCCAATGGCAGATCCGCAAACCAAGGCAAAGGCAATTGGCCCGTTTCATTCTGGTTTCTGGAGCGTTTGCAGCAAGCAGCTGTGAAGGCAGATGCTGAACTCTACACTAGCTGTATTAACTCATGCCGAAAAGGCCGGACGAGCAGGGGGAACGAGTTGGGGGAAAAGGGCTTTTTGAGAGACTGAAGGACCTCAATCCGTGTTTGTACACATACGAGTCTACGAGTCAGACACACCTGCGCAACGTTAAACAACTTCTGCATGCATAATTGGGCACCAAAAATTGCGTACCACGGGTCGCGAGGTTTTTGATCTTTGCGTGGTCTTGGAACCGCTACAGTCACAAACCGGAATAACTGGAGCGTTTTCTGCCCTGAAAACTCCCCAATTCTTGTGCAACGGAAGGGCTCTACTAGGTGGCTGTGGCTACTTGTTGAAGTTATAACTTAGGTTATAAGTTCTATAACCTAGGTTATAAGTTCAATAAGTATGTTAAGTATTCGCCTCTACTTATAACTAATTTGGTGATCTTATAACTAACTTATTGGACTTATGCTTTCTACTTAGTTCCTACTTAAGGTTAACTTAGGTTCGAATTAGGTTGAACTCAAGACCGATTTTTTTTGAACTTTTTGAGTTGATTATGTTTTGTAATTTATATGGCTCAAGGGACCCGTTGCACGCCTATAAATGAACGGCGAAAGGTGAGATAGGTTTTGTCCGTTCGAACTATGGCCAATCTGCAGGTCTGTCAAATCCTTCAAGTCTTGGTGGACAGACTTGATGGGGCGACAGGACACTTGTGAACGGAGCAGGTACAAGGCATTTGTGCCTGCACAAAGTGGATGAGGTCTGAACTTGATTGAACTTTTCTGAACGTTTCTTGGTGGAATTATTTTCTGAACTTCGAAAGGATGAGGGTCGCGGCCGAGCTATCCATATCCACATCGGATAGATCGGCGTAGCTGTACTGCGCAAACAGACCTCTTTCCATGGCCAGGGCACAAAAAAAGTGCGTGCTCCGGAGGGTTGGGGGAATGTAGGCGGAATGTAGGCGAGGAATCTGGAAAATCAAGCTTTTTAGATGTAGGCGCAACAAAAGTAAACATACAGACAATGTAGGCGAAATGTAGGCGAATGTAGGCGGAGCAAACGCAAGCGCAGCTTCTGGTGGCTTTTTTGAGTTGCTTTGTTCCGCAGCACGGGAGCAAGCAAGCACAAAATGTCATTTGGTCTCAAGGAGACTGCGCGTGGCAGATGTGTTGCTTTGGGAAGGTGAGTCAGCTGGCCAGACTGAGAACATTGTGGAAGGTGACTCTACTGCTATACACCTGGAACTCAGAATATTTGAATATGTTTCCTCCTTACCTTATGGCAGTCTGTGGCGCAGACTGCATTGCAGATCTTGGTATAAACCCAAGATCAACAGCACATATTGCATAGCAAGGTGGTGGCGCTGGGATGATGACAAGAATCTCCTCCTATGTTTGCACTGAAGACGTTTCGCGAGTCGAAAAAAGAGAGTTCTTGCGTCAAATAAACGAATCAAAAAACATGTGATTGAAAAAACCCAGGCCTACTTAAGTCCTACTTATAACCTAGGCTTTAACTCCTACAAGTCCACTTATGCATAAGTTCGACAACTAAGTTATAACATCTACAAGTTAGTTACAAATAGCCACAGCCACCTAGTAGAGAGATCCGTTCCCGGAGTGTTTGCACGACCAATCACTGAGAGTTCGTGATTTGGGCTGTTCTGTAGGTTTGGTGGCTGCAGCAGTCAATGGAGAAAACCACGTCAAACTGGGTGGATTGCTGTGGTTCTCCATATCTATACAATGATTCAGTTTGGTGCCAGCTACTTGGAACCTGCAGTTTTGGTGAGGCTTTACTGATGTTTTGTGAGTGATTTGCGGGCAAGAAAGCGCTCTTTGGACTGTAAGGTCATTGTTCTCAATGTGGGGACAGTATGGAACAGTACTACTAGGTGACAACAAAGCCTGTGGTGTAGGTCATTTGTTCCTTCCAATATGATCAAATTTGGTTTAATGACCTTCAAGATCGCTTTGCAAGCATAACAATTGATCTTGACCGCACTCGTGGCCGACCATATTAATGCAGCACTTCCACATGTCCCCAAACTCCCACCGCCGGCAGCGTCGAAGAAGCGTCGCACCTCGAAGACTCAGTCGGAGGGGGCCCGGAGGTCCTGGGCGAGCTTGGCGGGAAGTGGTGGCCTTGCTGAAGGATCTCGAAGCCAAGGACCTGCAATCCGACGCCCGGTTCTTCACGACCGAACACACACGCCGCGGCATCGTGTTCCAATCCGCCTGGATCCGTTTGCGGGCCCACGTCGAAGGTCGGAAAATGAACGACCCAAAGCTTTGGAGACTCCTTCGACCGGTCGTCTGTTGGAAGAACGAGGTATGAGAACCCCAAGCATGTCTTTTTGGGGGGAGGGAAAGACTTTGACGATCTTCTATATATTTATTCTCTACTTATCCCTTTCATGTATATACTTGTTCATTTGGTGATATAGATGGGGCGTTCCAAGCTTGTGCAGTGCAGGGTCAAACATGGTGAAACCAAATCCTTATGGTTAGGCTAGCAGCATATGCCAACTTCAAACCATTTCTTGTTCCGGGACTCAACGGCAATCTTACAAGGCCTTTCCACAACAGGTTTATGTGCGGCGTTTGTGCCTCAATATTTGTTTGTTGGGGATATCTTGTGTGCTAAGGACCTGTTTGTCTACAACGGTGCGATCAGTGCCTGCGAGGCGCTTGACTCATCGCGAGGCGTTTGTCTTTGCATGTTTTCCCGTTGAACAATGGTGGGATGGTACCGGACTGTCGGTGTCTTGTCTGGTCGTAAGAAAAATGACATCATAGTTAACTACCTACATTGCCATTTTCATGGGGTCTATATATATATATATATGTATCTATTCCACTCCCATGGATGGTCCGGGTCAAGATTTGGAGCTCACATGAGCTACGCTCAAGTGATAGAGACAAATCACCAATATTACAAAAGGGTGCCTGCAGGACCCCGGCAGGTTGCCTAGGCCAAGCCTGGAAGGCCAAGGAGCTGTATCTTTTGTTGCTCGAGAGAATGTTGGTGAGGAACATTTCAGCCACTAGGAAGATCAATGTGCAGGAGGGAATTTATCCAGTGCAGTCAGGAGCCAGACCAGGATCAAAAACGTGTGCCACCCGTTGATTTTGGAGATGTTTTCAGGCCGACGAGAAAGATCACCGCAACCTGTTCGGAGGGGAAGATCATCTCACGTAACATGACGTTCCTTTCGGTTGAGACCTACTGGTGGCTGAAGCGGAGAGAAACGGAGAGAACATGAGAGAACCACCTGTAAGGTGATGTAAAATCCCAGACACTCCATGTATGGTGTATATGCCATGATATGCCGCCCCATTGACCCCTTGTCGACCACCCCAAAGGGACTGTATTGAGCGCGGCCGTGGCGTTCGGCCTTTTCACCGGGCGTTCGGCCGGGCGTTCGGTGACACACATGGAGCGTCCAAGAGTGGACCGGGCGCTTGGGGCATGAGAGAAACCACACCAAGACCCTCCATTCTTTCAGGGGTGAGTTATGTCTGTACTGTATATATATATATGATATATGTAATATGTGTATATACAAGTGTATATATATATGATATGTGTGTATATATGTGTTGCACTTTAAATCCCTAGGGATCGTGAGAAGGTCTTTGGATCCCTAGGTTTTGTATATAATATATTATGGCCTCACTGGGAGTGAGTCTCGAGTTTCATGGTGTTTCCGGGAGTCTTCTGGGCACATCTGGTGGGTGTCAACGTCGAAGTCCAAGTCCATGGAGAACACGGGTGGGTCGATTTTGTCCGTGGAGGTGGCACTGAGGGGCACAGGTGGTGTTTGTTGGTTCGGAGCTCAGAACTGCTGAGTATTCTCGTGTTTTCTCATGGCTTTCTGCAGTTCGAAAGCATCATGTTTACTCTTGCGAATGGGAATGTCCAAGCTGCAAAGTCCAGGCCTCCAATTCCTGGCAGGAGGCCCTCCTGCTTTTGGGATCCTTGGACGCTGGGGCAAGCAATTCCTGGTGACACGAGGGAACCACCGGGAGGGAACACCCCTTCAGAAGTGCCGTTCGTCGGTTCACCATGGTTCACCTTGTTCACACTGCAGCAACTTGGTGTGGTTGAGGCGTTGTCACCCTGCCGTGAGACGGATCCATATCAGAGTTGAAGGCTCCATGCGGGGGCGCGAGGCCGTGTCCGAATGTTTAAGGTCTATCAATGTGTTGTTCTGTCAGAAGAAACCAGCTACTATTATCGTGCATTTGTTCAGATTTGGTTTACCAGAATACGGCGGGACATGTATGAAAATATATATGAAGATTGCCATTGGATGATTCTTCTGAACTGTGATTTTGTAGTGATACAGTGATACGTGATTTGTGGGATTCGCTGTGGGATCGTGTGGGATCATGCGGGATCCTTCTCTTTAGGAACTCGGCTGCATGTTTGGGCTCCGGACTTTGGCCAAGGGGACTCCAGGCGTTCCTTCCATCACCAGAGTTCGAATGGGATCGGAATCTTGTGTCCTTTCTCGGGGCAACCGATCTCGTGGAGGACTAGTAGTTTTCCTATAATATTCCTCGTTTAGCATTTTACTGGAGGGTCTGCATGTTTTTATTTTTGTGTTGGGTAAGACTTCTTCCTCGTAAGTTTGACATGCTAAACTTGCTAGACTTGCTCGACTTCCTCGTTTGTCAGTGCAAAAACTAGAATGTCCATAAGCATCTAGCAAACAAAGAAGCCTACCAGTTTTTGTGATAATTTGGTAAACTTCCTCGTTAAACAGGATCAAGAGAGAGAGGTTCTTTAAATTCCTCGTTAGATTTGCATTTGTGTATTCTAATGAAAGCAGGTATCTGTGAATTCACCTTGCACATGATCGATGGCATGTGTGCACTCCCCAGAACTTATGAGGAAGTAAATCTAGACACCCAGCCATTTGGTTTACCAAGAAGTCACTTTGCAGCTTAACCAAGAAGTGGTAATTTTGCTGTTATTCTTCCTTGTTAGCTCCCAACCTATGAAAATGTAAAGCAACCCTGGCTTACCTGAAGTGTATCTCCCTGGTCATTTTCCAGCGATCCCCGGGAATGCAGGGGCGCTCGGCTTCCTCGGTAGTGAGAATTGCATTTTCTAGCCTTCCTCGTTTGCTGATTGGGCACCTGTTTGTGGTCTGTTCCCGGGGGGATTTACATGGTCACCAACTTCCTCGTAAACAGCGTCCTCGCCTAGATTTACTTCCTCGTAAGTTCTGATGAGTGTATATGGTAATATGCTCTCCCAAGGAGATATTGTAAGTCTCAAGCAGTGCCAAGCTGCGTAGAATCCAATGGTGTTCTTTTTGTTGGCTCCAATTTTTCCGTTACGTTGATCAGCTGTCCAGTGTTTTCAGAAGACAAGAGATGTGGTGAACCTATCCCTTCAAGTATAGATGATGCCCCTTTCCAAAATTGGGAGGTTCCCAAACAACCGCAAAAGCAAAAGGCATATCACCCTGTTGCTGTTTTAGATGTGTTCTACATGCGTTGTGTGAAGAAACTAAAGTAGCTTAACGCTGACCTAGTTTATGTGCTGATTCCGACCGATCACTGCACGTGTTCCTACTTGGAGCTTCCATGAAAAGTGATCCTTTTCGGCACCGGAGAACTCTCCCAGGACGCCCGGCGCCTGGAAATGGACGTGGTCTCACTCTCCTCCACCTTGACCGTGTGTGAAAGGCGTGGAAGTCCATGTCTCGAATTGGAACAGGCAACAAGGTGGCCGATGCGTCAGGTTTCTAAGTAGTTGTTTTAAGAGGCCCTTGCAAGGAACTGCGGTCATTCCAGTTTCTTTGCAGTGTGGTTAGCATTCTGTAGAGGTTTCGCATGGGCTTTGCAAGGGTGAGCACTGTTGGCACCATCGCCACGGAAGTCCTTCTTCCAACGATCTCGGTGGAAGTCATGTCGTGGATTTCACCGTGGATCTCGGTGGAGCCTTTTTCGGATTTGGCTTGGGAACCTTGGTCCAACTCTCATATAGCCTCCCTTGTGGCCCCGGTTCCTTCCAATATAAAGATAAGATAAGCTTAAGATAAGTAAACAGGTTCCTCCACCATGTTCTCAGCACACATCCAAGACTTTGCTTGGCTTGATGCAAATCCACAATAACTTATAGGATAGTTTTTTGTTTATTGTTTTTAAATGGGCGTTGGAGCATTCTTTGCTGGTGCGTCCCACCATATATATATATATAATATATCCCTCGAAGCTTTAGCACATCACGGGCTGCGTTGAAGCCGTCGGGACATTGAAGAGTGGGATAGTGGTGGGAAAACATGTGCGCGCCGCTAAACCCAGAATAGGAACTCATATGTCAGGGGGCCTGTCAGCCTCAGACAGGTATGTCCGTAACACCTCCAAGCACCTCCTCAGAAGGAGTTTGGACCCTCCAAACCCACCCCAAACACCTTCTCAGAAGGTACTTGAGGTCTCGGGCCATGTAACTGGCATATTCACCTCCATTGACCCAACTTTCGAACCCGCCACCTCTCGGCTGTCATATGCTGGTTTGGAACGAGGTCCGAGGTCGGTGTCCATCGTTCGATTTCGGAGCCCAGGTGCAAAGAATGGGAGATGACGCTGGCCCTGTTGTGCGCGGGCGAGGACCGTTTCCGAACCAATGAGTCCGAAGCGAGTCAGAACCACGGAAACATGGCAAACAGAACCACCGGAAACCACGGAAACCTGGCGCAGGCTTTTGGTATTTGCGCATGTAAAGCTGTGTGTGTCCCAAAGAAACATGTCAAAGAGGCTGGAGTGAAAAAGAGACTCGAGCGGAAGCAGAACGTGTAGGCATTGCCAGTCAACATGGCAACATGTCTTTGCCTCACGTTGTTTTGTTGCATGAATCGGGTTTGAATCTGAATTGAACCCTCTCTGTCACAAAGGCCATGGATGGCCACGCAGTCGAAATCAGGAGAGTCAAATGCAGCTAAACCTCATTACCTACAACACTGCGATCAGTTCCTTGGTGAGGCAGAACACCGCCCATGTGCATTCAAAACATCAACGTGACCACGTGATTCTTGGTGTAGTCGACCGGGATGTAGAGGTGGTCACCCGTGTTCCTACCCCAACCGGGACTGGCATTTTGTACCTATGCCTATTTATGCCTATACATAGTATCTAGACATTGGAATGATTTGAGGGTCAATAGTGTTTGGGTACCGAAACCACTCCGCCGTTCGTGGCGCATTACAGAGCATCTCACAAGTCGTCGCGAGGTGGCGAGTCGTCGCAAGGTGTTGGTGGACAACACCAACTCCGAGGAACACATCACATGGAAGGGGAAACATCTTGAACATCACATGTTGGTGGACAGGATCGTCCTTTCAAGGGGGTGGATGACATGGCCATGCCATCCACGATTCGCCATCCACTGGAGTAGCCATCCTCGTCGCCGTTGAGTGGATGACCAAGACGGACCTGTGGAACCTGCTGGAAAAGTCGAGGATCTTCTGCATTCGAAGCATGAGGCAACCATGCACATGAGGCAATCCTGTTGCGGATCGGGTGAGGTGGCTTTTGCCGGGTAGAGCCAAGGAATTCTGGACACAACCATCCAGGACCCAAGGTATATAGACCTTTCCGTGGGATTGGGTGGAACTGTCCAGTTCACTCCCACTATCGCTCATTGCCAGCTCACCTGGCGATCGGTTCCTTACCTTGGCGGTCTGTGGCTTTTCCTCCACAGCTGTCTTCGTTCCACCAAGAGCATGGGCTTGTTGGATAGATATCGAGGTCAGTGATGAATACGATATATATATACATACATACCTAGAACCCAGACTGGACCTCTGTGTTGATAGGAAAAGATCATGTTTTGGCTCCCAAACAGGGGTCAATCAGGTTCTAGGTATGTTATATAACGTCCATTCCAAGATGCATTACTGGTGTTCACCGACTAAGGTTCCTTTGGAAAAGCCAGGCAGTGGCAGATGGCCGTGGAGTTTGTCTTTGCCATTGGGCCAAGTTGGGCTGGTGATTTGGGAACTCAAAGTCAGCTGAGACTGGTGATTTCGTCACTTGAGATGTGCTACAAGAAGTGAGGGGTTACACAGGAATTCCAACTTATGCGGGTGATTTGTTCATCTTATGAATGGCCAACAAACGACTCAAGATCCTGAATTGGCTGAGTTGGTTGGCATTGTTTTGATCTACTTCCAAAGAACTGAACCAGCTCCAGGACCCTCCAAATCGGATGTACAGCCAGTGTCACATAGAAGATCATATAAGCATATACAAGCACTACATCACCCAGGCATAAACATTGCAAACTCATTCATAACCCAGACACTTCATGTATGGAATGTTTAATACATGGACCCCATGTACAAACCACCCCAATGTACAGTCCCATGGACCTGGTGGGGTAAACGCCTTGGAGGTCGGACTGCATCTTCCAGGGAGAAAACCCATCTCAGCCCCTTCCTTCGTTGCTGCCCTTGTCTTGGTCGGCTTCTCAGGAAGGCCTTGGACGTCGCCGGATGGCACCCGATCTCATCAGCCACCTGGTTTTGCTTGGAGTGATGTCTTTTTTCCCGGATTTTCCCCATGGATGTCTACGGAAATATAAATCCTTTTCTGGAGAATATGTGTGATTTGTTCTCCTAGTTGCTGGACTGCCAAGGCTACAACTCCTTGCTGAATGGTTTTGGCCTTGCGCAGCAGTGGATGGACGCGCTCTTCCTTCTAGAGCAGATGCAGGTCCTTTGGGGTGAGCTGTCTGTTCCGCTGTGGGTGCCCAGAGAGAGAGAGAGAGAGACCAGGCGCCGAGGTGTCGCCTAGGCCAGGTGTCGAGTGTGGAGGGTTTGCAAGAAGTTGTTTTCGGGGGATGAAGCAAAACATTGCGTCTATCTTTTGATGCTTGGACATGTCCAAACATTATTGTTGCTGGAAGAGATAGTGGGCCACCTAGCATGCATATATATATATATATACATGTATATATAGACCGTGACAGCTTAAACAACCGACTATGTGACTATGTGGAAACGAAAGGTCTTCAACACTCGCCGTGTTTCAACGATTCCGAGGCACAAGGTGGATGAAACTGGACCAGTGAAACAGGGTAGAAACTGGTGGACCGAGCAACATCAAACGTCCTGGAGGTCTTCAGCAAGTGAGTCAAGCTTGTGTTTGGATGTCAAGCTAGGCTTCAACTGGGCCAAGAGTTTGTCTGAGGGTTGTAGGACTGTGGGAAGCTTTAAAGTTCAAGCAAACATTTCAAGAGTGCCTCCTGTCACCAAAACCTCTGTCAGCATGCTAGGCTATGCATATCACTCTGCGATGAATCCAAAGCGGTGGTCCCCCACGCTGCGCCGCGCCGTCGTGACGTACCGTACGCGACGTCGCTCCGGTTCGCGGTCACACCGAGCCGTTGGACCATGCTGGACCTGCCTCGCCTCCAAAACCCAGATGGGTTCACCCACTATAACTCTATGCATGATTCATGATCAAAGATTCTTTAAAAAGAGACTCTGGAAAAGAATGGACTGGGATGTTTCTGAGCTGATATTATTGAATAGTAATATATGTTATAATAGTAATATGTAATACGTGTTGTGTTCTTTCGCTGTTCGTGGATCCTTAATTGGATTCTTCTGTGTCCCGGCCGTTTTCTCCAGGAGCTCCGCGTCCGCGCGGACAGCTTCAGCTACAGCGCCACGATCCACGCCTGTGGTGAGTCCTCGGAGTGGCAGCAGGCGATGCGGTCGGGCGATTTTGGTGATGCAACACGCGGTGGCGATGCTGGGTGGACCAGAGATTTGACACTTGGTGGTCACATGGCTCAAAGTTATAAGTACACACAGTGTACACCCCCCGGTACACTGTGTGCACCCGACAAAATGGATCTCTAGCATGACTCAAACCTGCAGGTCTGGATTTTCTGAACAATCATCTTTGTATAGTTGGGCCGCGCAACTGTACGTTATCCATACGTGTATCCTGCAAAAGTCTCTATGACAGACCAGTGGTGCTTGGTTGCAGGGAGAATTCCGTTTTCTCGCCGCATGGTCCAAGATCCTTTGACCAAGAGGGTTCAGAGAGATCCTGACCTTTTTCAGATGACCTTCAGAACTTCACATTTCCCATGGGTCCTCGTTTTGTTTGGTAGTTGTGTGCTGCGGATCACTGTATGAGAGCTGAAACGGCCACCGTGCACACGGTCAAAACATGTCACCACAATGTGTGTGTTTTTGTGTGTGTGCTGTGAGTGACTGATTGGGGGAAGTTGTTTACCGCACAAAACGGGGTACTTGTTTGATTGCAAGGTTGTTTGTGTATTTTAACCGTGGTGTTTCCTGTTGTTTCTTTTTTCACATGTGATGCGGTCGCGGCGATGCCCAGCAACTCTGACCCTGGCAGCGACTCTTTTTGGAGAGTCATTGATTCCACAAAAGCCCAGGCCGGTGGCCATTTGATTATGCAATTCACAACGAAGACCGCACCCAATTCGTAACGAACCAATTTTTTTGGAGAACTCGGAGGACCCGATTCTTCTCCTCGACCCAACCATCACTCGCTCTAAAGTGTGGATCACTGATGATCACTGCCATCCAGCTGCTGTTCGGGTTTGTCTCTCGTGGCGGTACCGGTGGTGACCTCTCCAGGCCTGTGAACTCCTCTCCGCTGCGCCGCTGGTGACCTGCGTCATGGAGAATGCGGCCATGGAAGCATGTTGCACCGCTACCTGGACGGATGCGCTACCCGCTACCTGTTGGGTACGTGACGGCTATGCCCCACTTGAGTGACGGCTATGCACAGTTTGAGGACCAAGCCATCTCCTGCCAGGGTGATGATGGGGGGACACACCCTAATTATGCGACACCAATTGCAAACCAACTCCTTGTTTCACTGTGTTCTGACATGTTTCGCCCGCAAGGTGAACATGGCCATCACTTGTGCACGTTGAGCTTTCAAAGTCTTCACAGAGCCTAGCAGAGCCCCCTTTGAAAAAGAAAGACCAGCGCAGCAGATACACCCCTTCATGAGGGCCCCTCATCTTCTCTCGTGGATGTGTCATGAGGATTTTGTTGAGCCTAATTTCCCACTTGGACCCACCAAGGGAACCGAAGACCGTCAAAAAAGTCAGGGTCAATGAAATAAACCGAGGTTTTTACAAAAAACCGAGGTTTCAAGAAATTCACAAAATTTCGTCTTTCTGCATCCAAAGCCCAAAGTCTCTCCCGTGATCCGGTCTCACCGGGAGGAGTGGGACATAAAAGTATTGACTGAAGGACCAGGAGGTGTTTTCATTTCACACCCCCCAAGAAAGAGGAATCCAAGGCCTTTTGGCCAATTCGGTGGGGCACAACCAGTGACACCAAAAGTTGGTAACTACCGGAAGTATAACCACCATTCTCTTCAATTTTGGCATTGACCTTGCCAGGGGCTGTGACGATTTTTCTCTATACTACATGTCTCTACCAGTAGGACCTCGCACGTTTGATGGGTGTCTCTGTGAAAATCATGGGATCATGGCCCTATTTCGATATATTGCAAGGGACAAACATCTCAGTGACAGAAGGGGCTTCCCCCCAACAGAATTCGAAGACCTCCGTCTTTCGAAAAAGCCACTGACGCTGACGCCACCGGGACGGGACACCACCGGGACGGGCATCGTGGGAGTCCAGCGCATCAGTGAGGCTTCCATGTGGCCACAGGCCTTATCCCTGTGCCTCGGTGGGGGGTTCTGATCTGCCGGATCCATACGGCCTACATACCCCCATGGACCCTATTGGTATGGATCCGTGCATGGGAACCGGCATCCAAAAGGTGCCAACGTCCGGGTAGACCTGCGTTCTTTGCCGGTGCCGGGAGGGTTCAGTGGTACCGAACCTGAGGTTAGGTACGAAAACGGATCCTTAGGGGAATGACGGAACCTGTGAGTGGACGACGAGTTTGGTGCATTTGCCCTAGACCTCCAAGTTCCTTCTGAGAAGGTGTTTGGGGTGGGTTTGGAGGGTCCAAAATACCTTCTGAGGAGGTGCTTGGAGGTGTAGGGTTCATGCTCCGACGAAGTCAGAGGCTTGTCCCGGTCTCGCTGAAGAACACAGTGCTCGCTTTGACGATGATGGAAAGAACCAAATCGATTGGCCGCTTCATCGACCGGGGGTTCCTTTTTCTTACGGATTCTTTTTGTGGATTGCCATGGACTGGTCGCACTTCTGACCCATTGCTCTCAGAATCTCCCATACCTCAGGATCAACAGGGTTGGCCGATTTGTGAAAGTCCCAAAGCGGCTCAGCTCAGGTTTGACGGGATCGACTCACCCTCTGCAGGGAGCTTCAAGAGCGTGCGGGTCCCAAGGTACAAAACATATATAAATTACCAATTACACTAAATAATGATTAATATAAATAAACATGAATATATTTAAATTTAAAACATAACTTATATATACTAATATCAATTAATTATAACTAATTGAAGAAGACTCATTGAGTTCACCATGACTCCCTGTTTTCAGGGTTGAAATCAGATACGCTTACACCTCCTTCACTGCCCCCCCCCCACGCGTTGGCATTTTAAACGCACGCGGCTCGCTTGCTTGCGCAGCTCCGCAGCTTCTCGTTGTGCAGGCATTGGTGGCGGCGAAAGAAGGTCAACAGTGGCTTTTGGCTCTCCATCTCTTCAGTGAGGCGCTCGGTCGACTGCCACGGTGTAGCATGGTGCAGTGTTTGTTCCGGCTATGCGGAGAGTTCAAGAACGCCAGCGTTGAGCTGGGGAAAGCACACTGATTGCCAAGACATGCCAAGACAAGACTGTGACTATGTCTATGAGTTTGGAGTGGTGCCGGCTTGGAGCCAGAGGTAACCTGCACGGAAATGCTGAATAAATGAGGAGTCGGTTGGCTTTTTCCCTGAAGGTCGATGGTGCAGGAACATGTAAAAACAACATCAGTTTGGAACGAACCCAACCATCTTCAGAAGCCACAAACTTTCGGCTGGCTGCGGCCTGGGAACCTCTTCAAGTTTCAAGACTCGTCGGTCAACTGTACACCAGTTCCAGCATCTCATCCTTGAAAGTCTTGAAGAGAGCCCTACAAAGCACCTCAAAAGGGAAGGCAAACAAATATGTTTACGCGCATGTATCAAACACATGCATCATGACGTGCATCAACAGGCACCTGTGCTGTTTGGGGACACATCATGTGGGGTGCAGTGGGGTTTTCTCTTCACCCATAGGATGCTTCGTCGAGTCTGAAGACCGTCACAATGAAAAACCTCGTCATCACCTCGTCGTCGTTTCCGGCAGGTTGGAATCTCTCTCAAAATTCGACGCTTTGATCGGTTGATTTCATCCCAAGCACCCCTACTTCTAGTAATAAGGCCAGGAGCTACGTTCGTAGCGTCCTTGCTCCGTTCGTAGCGATGGCCAAAATTTGTTGCTTCGGTCGACCGCTTCGGTGTGAACAGATTGGCTGGTTTCACCACGCAGAGGCTTGGGGGGATTGGTTGATGGATTGGTGGATGATGTGTGAGAATTTGGGGTAGTTTAATCAGCTTAATCTATTTGTCCACGGTGTTTTTGATCAGTTGTTGTGGGAGTTCTTTGGTCTGATGGTAAAAATGAAAGCCGCCGGGTGTTTCGCCTCAGATGGAGAAAGCCAACAAGCCGCGAACGGTGAATGCTTGGAACACCGCGCGGAGACCCGGGATGAGGGACAAGGCGTGCTGTGACAGGAACGAGGGATGACAACATGATTGAGGGGGAAGACCGTGTACAGGTAGAAGGTCGGTTCAGGTAGCTTACTGGCTGTCTTTTGGATCAAAAAATAAGGATGATTGAGGGGGCACTGAGCTGGGTACCTTTCTGTCCGGGTCGAGCTGGGCAATACCATTGGCACCATGGGAAGCAAAGCTGGACGTTTGAGCAAATCACGGTACATGGTGGGTACAGGATGGTGCAGGCGTGTTGGATTCATGCTCCTCTTTCAAATGAATCCAGAAAAAAGTTGTCACCTGGTTCTTCCAAAGGATCTCAGTCAGATCATGTCTCCTTCGACGTCCCAGTTGGTTCGGTCCTTTCACTTGAACAAATAACCTCACCTCATGTCGGCTCAGAGAGAAGACCACGGACGTTCGGGTTCGACCACGACGGCGCTCTGTGGCTCAGGTGATCCAGGCCGTGCTGAGCGGTGCATCGGTGCTTCGAGCACTGGAGGTGCTGAAAGACATGGAGTTGAGCGCACTGGCGACGGATGACAGGAGCGACGTTCAAAGACGACGTCTTTTTTGTTTGAACGTCGTTTGGTGGAAGATCCTCAGCTTCACAGCGGTTGCTTTCGTCTAATGATCTAATGTGGAAATGTTTTGTATATATATATATAGATACACATATTCAACTATTATGTCAACTGGCTTCTCTCCTCATGCACCAGATTCCAAGTTGGTTCTTTACAGCTGTCAATCGACAGTCCCCTGGTTTTGCAGAGAATTCCAGATCCACCCCCCAGGGGCTTTTTTGTATAATATATATATAACTTGATGCTACTGTAGGAGCTCACCCGCACCATGCTGTACCATCCTGAATAGCTTGAAGGTTGCATATCCGTGTTTGGGTTTCTGTGATTGTAGGATGTTCCAGCTGCTCGTGAGATTCTCAAAACACAATACCTTCGAGGGATGCTCAGAGAGCCATCAATGATTGCCATTTGTATCAATTTGTCACATCACCATTGGGAGGATGTACGCGGAGCTCATCGAGGCCAGCGCCCAGTGTTCCAACTGGCCCATTGCTTGTTGGCTCATGGAAAGAGGGAAGCTTTCAGCAGATTTGCCACTTGGAGCAAGGACGCCATTAGTAGCTCCTGGCATTACTACCAGTAACAAGAAGCTATATACTAGTAACAAGGGCATCGCTACTAGGAGCAAGGACGCTATTATATAGTAGCTCCTGGCATTACTACTAGTAACAAGAAGCTACTAGTAACGAGGGCATCGCTACCAGGAGCAAGGACGCTATTATATATCGAGGGCATCGCTACTAGGAGCATTGTTTGATTTACTAGAAGATATCAGATATCCCAATGATGTCTCACCCAAGCACTCCATGCATGGTGTATTTGCCTACAGCGACCCTTGTCCGCCTCATGTATGCAAATCTTTCATACATCGAGTGCTTGGGCAAAGCTAAGCTCAGGGGTCAGGTGTGTGCACTTTAGAATTTGATCGACCTTTTTTCTCCCTCTGCGATATTTGAGTCGCTCATCTAGCACAGACCTGAACTCGCAAAACAATCCATTTGGTGTCTGAATTGGCAGAACAAGAGACACCGCGAGACCATTTCTGAAAGACCCTGCTTCTGGGGTGAACCTAGATTTATCATATCCCAAAACAAACAAACAAACACACATATACCGTTATATAGTTATATATGTATTTATATATATATATATATGAGATGTTGCTTGATCAGGATTTGCCTCGCACTTCTTTAGCCTTAAGTGGAAGTACTATATCTCAAGAGATCAAGAGATTCTCTCGACAGCTTTTGGGCTTGGTGATGCTTGGGTCATTCAAAATCTTGGAGCTGGATTCGAAGGGTAGGAAGATCCCATCGGATGAGCCATGAGATTCCATGATGTGCCTTCGGCTGTATGTAGAGCAATTGAAGCGCAAGGGTGAAATTTGGTACCGCTTCAGCTTCGTTTGGATGGGTCCTCTTCGACAGATGTATCGTCCAGGCTCTCACAGACCAGCGCCATCCGCGCCTGTCAGCAGTCCCAGCAGTGGGAGCGGGGCAGTTGGATGCTGACCCAGCTGCAAGAGGCACAGCTGAAGACCGAGACTCGGCAGCGAGGTCCGGTCCTTGACCTCAGCACGATGTCGTGGAATTGGCCAAGATCCGGACCACCAAATTCGAGAAATCACCTGAGGCGGTGTCCGAGTGAGACGGTATCTTGTACCTTGGCCCTGGCCCTAGTGTGCTTTTGTTGAAGAAGCTGCTAAGAAGACCCAAGGGCTCTTGAAGTCCGAAAACATTTGAAAACAGTTGTTGCACGAAGTCAAGGATCCACTGCCGAAATCCACATGGGATCCTCAGAAAGAAGGATTCGGTCAGTTTGTGGATTCTTTGGTCAGTTGGATCCACAATCGGTTCTGTGATGTTTCAGTGTTTCACTTCCTGTTCAAGGCGTCCTTCGTATTTTTGCTGGTCCAGGAAGCTTGTGAGGATGGTCAAACGGAGGTTTTCCTAAGTACTTTCATCTCGAATGGTCTTCTCTGGTGCTTCTGAAAAGGACAATTCGGCTGGCCTTTTAGCCTCTGGGTTGAGATCGGAGAAGCAATGAGCCTTTGACCTGCATCATCCTTCATCCAGAATTGAACTCGAGGCATGACCTCATGACCTTCGCCCTTCTTTCAAGGCTTATCGAGAAACTGGAGTTGCCCAGTCTTATTTTCTTTTGAGGGGGAACCCACATGACATAGACCTACATAGACCTATGTACCGAGATCTATTCAGATCCGCTCCACCTCAGGATGTGGTTTCCAAGAACTTGCAGTTGAGCATTTGTAAGACTGCAGAGCAATGGTGTCTTGGTCGGGATGTTCAACCACCGTGTGGAAAAAAGAAGCCTTCAGAAGGTCTGTGGATCCATGGTAGAACACTTCAACCCTCAGTTGAAGCATGTGGATGCAGCTACCTCGAGCTTTTGTACCCATGGGGATGTAATTGCCGCTGCAAGTACAGTATGAAGCGGTGCCAGATGGCTCCTGAAAAGGTGTGGCACTTGCCAGGATGCACTGGGAAGAAGTTGGCTTGATTGTTTGCTGCTTTGCTTTGGGATTCCTTTGCTTGTTTTTATCCTTCAGTCGGATGAAAGAGGACCAAGAGAAAGCATGGGGATGCATAGAGTGGATGTGCATTCCACGATGTGGATTCTTGATTGGAACTCTGTGTGGTGATATTTGTTGCTGGTTGAATGAATGTGCATGAATTATCACCAATTCATGGGATGCCTAGGGAACGGATGTTTAGAGTCAGTAGATGTCATCAGATCCAATACAAGCTCGAGTTTGGGAAACGGCAACGACGTTTTCCGACGTGTTCTCGGTCATGCCCCGGTCATTCCGACGAAGTACCGCGGGCCATGCATTCGGATACGAAGGCTGGATGAGTATGGTCCTTGGATGACACCCGAGGGCCCACTCTCTAGCTATCGACGGCCCTTTCGTATCACTGTAGGATACTGTAGGGCTTTAAGAACATCTATGTCCAACGTTTGAGAGTTTTGGAACAAATCCAAAGCCCTTGGGAAACCCTTGGGAAACCCCATGATTGACCCGCAAGGTGGGAGGCTCTCCGCTGCTTCCAGCAGATGCAGGACAGATGTCCATGTGTTTGGACTGCAGATGACTGAAAACTGTAACTAGACCCTGGACTTATATAAGTACATGTTGTTTGGGAAGAAAAGGCAAGGAAATGACTGTGGTTGGTAGGTACTGCTACACAGGGGTCACTTAGGCATACTTCGGCTATATAGTCAAAAGTACATCCAGTGAGGTCTGACTTCCAACATGATGGATGGATCATACCTTTCGCATGAGTCCAATTCTCCAGCGCGCAGAAATCTACACCTTCCCACCAGCGGACTTTCAGGAGATTGATGTGATCTCCTACACCACCGCCATGAGCGCCTTTGTGGATGCTGGAGAATGGCGAGCCTTGGGATTGGAAGGTGACCTCCATGACCGATGCACAACCTGAATGCGAGGGCTTGGCTGTTGCCCGAAGCGCCCGGAGCCGGGGCGCTCTCCGGGTCTTTGCCAACGATCGATGGTGAATCCTTGCTCTCCGGGTCCCAGAATCGGGTCCAGTCAGTCCGTTCCAACAGCTGATGTTGCCTTTTCTTTCTTCCTGGTGTTGGCCCATTTATATAAGGCTAAATAGGGGCTTCTTCGAAGCATGATCGTCACGTGTGGTGGGGTGTCTGGTTGATTTGTTCCATGTTGTTTCTATGAAAAGAGACGGGAGTCGCTCCCAGGAAGGTCTGGCTGCGATGGTTTTCACTCACTGTATCCCCCTCTTCCGATGGTGGTCGAAATAGCCGTTGGATTTAAACACTCATGACTTATGATGTACAGTACCTTGACTGGATGATTACATGTTCAGCATTTTGATGATCTCCCCAACTTATTTTCCACATCAACGAAGTCGACCCCAAAAACAACCCCATCTCGAAGGATTTGAGACGTGGAGGGATAGCATGTGTTCATCGTCCGATGTCCCTGTCAGCCAAGGACATGCCGTCTTCCTTTTCAACGAGCTCGAGTCTCAGTGCCTTGGATGAGTGAGGTCTACACCAGGCTGGCAAGCCACCGGGATCCACCGGGCATGTGCTGGGATCCCTACAGTACTGCTTAAGGAATAAGCCCTACAGATCATACCTGGAATTTGGAAGAGGTTTGGAGGGATGAACTAGCTTTTGTTGATAGTGATCCATAGGTGAGGTCTTTTCACTGATTTTTGGAAAGAAGAACAATATAAACACTGCACCGGCTGCCCAAGCCTGTATTGATTGAATAGAAAGACTCCTAGTGTTGTCGTCTAGCAGTTTGTCCATGGATGGAATATTGTGAAGACAATATGGGTCCAGAAAGTAGATGGGACGACAGCTGTTCATCATTTTGTCCATCCAAACGTGACAAGAGTTTCAACAAATCGACATTAAACATATTGATAACCTATATTCTGGCTGAATCAAAAATTGTTTTGTAAATATTGGAATGATATCCAATGTGTTGAGTTGAATCAACAACTAGTGTTGAGTCGATCTTGGACCAAGTTTGAATGTTCAAGCCAAGTGCCCGTCGAGCTTCCCCATTGTTTTGATCATTTGTTGCAACTTGCAACCACCGAATTCCTTTCTTCTCCCACTCTCCCGCTTTCCACCCACTAGTTACAGCTAGGAGTTTACAGGTCACTTGCCAATTGGACACAACTCCAAAAATGCCTTCATGGACGCTGAAAACCATGCCCCATCCCCAAAGACCACGAAAAACAATGAAAAAACATGTCGAAACCAACAATGCCCCGGTCGCCCGCGGAATTCCCCGTCGCGTCGCGTTGCGTCATTCCCACCGCGTCAGTCGCAAAAAGCATTTCTCAGCGATCAGGAGATTGAAGCCTGCCGGGATGACCTACACCTTCGCCTCTCGCCGAGCGAACGCGAATGCGATCCCGCGTCTTCGGTCGAACTCGGTGATCCGCGTCGGAAGAGGCATGCCTTTCCAGAAAGACGCATGCATCAAGGTCCTAATTATCGAAGTGTGTGTGTGTGTGTTTGTTGGTTTCTTTTACCTTTTTCTTGCACTTTCGAGCTCACGATTCCTGCTCAGTCTTGAGTCTTGAGTTGGTCTCAAAGGAATGAGGACACAAAGATTCCTTTGAAATTCGGTCCTCCAGGCCCCCTGATTGCCCGTCGCGTTCAGAGGACCCACGGTTTTCGGCAGCAACGTTTAAGAACTGCTACGTAGGATTCCTACTACCACCAGAAATACAGAGGTATCACAATCCGTTTGTTAAACAGTGTGTTCAACTACTTTGGCTTGGGTATGATTCTAGTGTTGTGACCACTTCGTCCCAGACAGCAAGGGATCAGGATTGAAATCTTATGACTCAGCAACCTACTCAAAACGACTTCTTTATTTCTTCCTTTCTTTCCTCTTTGCAATGATCTGACACCGAGGCACAACTTGGTTGGTCCCAATGCAGGAACAATTTACAGCGAGAAAACACGAATGTTCGGAAGGCACGAAGGCAAGAAACTAAGGGTGTGGCCGAACGAAAGCAAAGATGGTTGCGGATTCAAGTACATCAAGGTGCTTAATTACGAATTTGACAAAGCGGTGGTGTCGTCAACGTAAAGGACAAATCGTTCCGTGTTTTCTTTGTGAAGGTCAGCGTGTTCTGAAACCAGCGTGCAGCATTGAGGCAACCTACAAGTGAAGGCCGGGACGCAATGCCTGGCTGGTTTCACTGCAGAAAAACCTACAGTAATCTGTGTGCTGACAAAGCCTTGGTACAATATGCGAAAGGCATGGCAATGACCCCTTTGCGAACAAGCATTTTGAAACAAATTGTGAAGGTGCTAAATTTCCCGTCCCAAGGTGGGAGAGACATGATACACAAGCGGATTGTGTTTTGAAGCGTACCTAGCAGCGACCCCACACTTCTTAGTCCCAGGAATGAGTGTTGGGGCTAGTGCATGTGCGTGTGCAATGAAGTCGATATACAATTCACACCAAGGGATGTCGTTTTCAGGACAAACAGGCTCGCCATGAGGCCACCGCAGCAAAATCACCCATTCCAGTAAGGCATCAATAAACGCAGTTGGCCAGTTATTTTGTGGTTGATAGACCTGGTCGCGTTTTTCCCAGTCGATGCTAAGAACAAGTGCATTGTCTGTAGACATGAGAGGGTTAAGTGAAAATGTATTTTCCTAGTCTTCGGTGAGTGAAAAACGATGGTTCGCTGCGGCGGAAATCAAGAATTTGTGATAATTATGCAAACGGGCTCGTTGATTGCAAAGGTCCACGCATGTACACAGGATTGAGAGAGGCGGTTACTTCTTCATTTGCGGATCGAAACACCTTTTCATGTGGGAGTTTATTGATCAAGAGCGGTGACACATATAGGATTGTACTTGGTTTTCATGGCTGGCCAGAGGTGCTTGGGAGCAAATCCACTAAGTCGACTTGTGTAACAACAGCTTCTACCAACCTATTGGCCACCAGGTTGCAGGTGTTCATGTGAGTACGTGCCCAAAACCCCAAACGGATGTTTGATAGTTGTGGGGATTAGAAGTGATTACAACCATCTATCATCATCTAGCATACTAAAGAATTGGAAGGAACTTTCTACCAATTGTAGTAGGACTGTTCTATTTTTTCTATTTCTGATTCAACCAATTCTTCATCTAGTAGAAGGGATCCCTTCTACCCCGGTGAACTGGCTGTAGCTCGAGGGCCTGCCGAGGGCGGGTGGCCGGAGGCAGCGCGCATGAAGAGATGAAGAGCGCAAACCCAGTCGCAAACCCATAGCCATAGTGACATCCATTTATTTTAATTCGGCATACGGCACCGCTGTGCCTTTCTATTTTTCAGGCTTTGCTGGGGCCTGTTAGGGATGTGTCTTGTTCAAAACAATCAATGTGTTTCTGACCTGTTTTGATGGCCAGGAAAAAGAAACAGAAACAGCAAATGCTTGGGAGGGTCCTGGTGCTGTGTTCTTCTTCCCCGCTGAGGCCTTAAGTGCCGTGGCCATGGCTTTCCAGCAGCTCGATGCGCAGCGCATCACCTCGCAGCTGGAGCGCTCGGTTGCGCAGCGCTTGGAGGGCGCTCAGATGCTCAGCGCTTGGAGGGCGCGCAGCGCAAAAAAATCAGCGACTGAATGCGAATGAGACGAAGGGTGACTTTTGACTTGTGGCAACAAGGTGAGGGTGACACTCCCTGAAATCATCATGGAACCGCAATGAAACCACCTGTTTGCGGAGAAACATCAGTCATGTGGAAGGGGCCATGTTGCCCAGGAACAAGAGGCTTCGCTTGACTGAGAAAATCCGCCGATACCCCCACTGGCTATCCAACATATATATTATATAATTAAGTTATATATATAATACTAAACACAACAATAGCAATATAAATAACAATAGTAATTAATTTGTATTAAAATCTGTATAATTATGATATACATATATCGTTCCAATGCAGAACCTGAGATTCGCCCAAACTTTCATGGCACTTCTTTGTCCACTCACATGCATTTTACCATCTCCAATGTTGATATTGGTATACATGATTACAGTTTGGCAGTATGGATGTCCAGATTTGATATTGCTGAGTGAACAACAAACACAGATATCTATATATATATACAGATTTACATTGAATCTACATATATCAATGATCTACCGAACATCTTCCCGCAACAACAAGATTTGTTGCCGCAAAAAAAACGGCACGTCGCATCGGCCGGTTCAGATCGTCCATTGCTCGGATCCCCGGGTCCTTCTCAGGATTGCCTTCGCAGCTGCCATGAATGCCGGTCAGCTGGAGTCCCTTCCAACGAACGCCATGTGTTTTTGGCATCGTCGAGTTTTGGGAGATCAGGACTGGAAGATGTACATACAGGATCCTACAGGTGGGGTGGTTATAGGGATCAAGTAATTGGCATTCAATATGTCATTGTAATTGTATGGCACTCCTCAAGATCGCAGTGGGCTTCTGCAATAGCAGGGCCTTCATGGGTCCTTCTGAACCACTGTGAATCAACGAAGCAAACTAAGTCACTGTAGGCAGTGGATCCCGGTTTAGGAAGCTAATAATTAGTCTGTATTCTTTCTGTATTGCCGCCCAGCTTGGTCAGCACTCCAGGTCAAGTGTCGAGCAGAGTGACCTTCCGAGTGAGGTCTCATTGGCATCAGGCTGTGGTCTTCTTTGATGCCTCTCGTTGCTTGCTGCGAGTTCTTGGGGAAGCCAGGTCAGTGTACGTCTTAACAAGAAGACTCGGTTTCCATTGATGCAACTCTTTATGTATATACTGGAACTTTGTTTGATAGAATGTTGTGAGACTTTTGCTCAAGAATCCAGGAATCTCAAGCAAAAGCGATGATGGATCAATTAGTGTTTCAATGTTGTTTGACGCCTTCGTGGGCGCTTACTGGCAAATGTTTGCAACGTGGGTGTCAACTCAACCAGATGAACCCCCCCAGTGAGTGCGCTTGACTGGCTGGAACTGGAACTGTTTCAAACCAAGACGCCATCTCTGGGAGGAAGGCACGTTTTGAAGTTCAATGTTCATCAATGTTCCATCTCCTTTTGAAAATCGGGTTTTGGCGGTGCAATGTATCAAAAGGTGTGGGCTCTCGCCAGACGGAAACATGGGCCTCCTCCACAAACATGTTCTTCAGGTGTTTAATTATGAGTTTGTGTGTTTTTCTCCGGGAAGGTGTATCAATATCTCACTGTATGGGTCAAAAACGGAGTTCGCATGAGTTCCGCTTCTCTAGAAAAAAAACCTGGGCGAACGAGCATCCTGAGCTGCCAAGGTCGTCTTGGCTTTGATGATGAAGAAGCAGATCTATTTCTCCTTTGCGCACTCGACAAGGCGTCAACAATTTCTCCAGCACAATGCACCAGCGAGAAGGAGAGCAAGACAAAAAGAACAGCCACCACCACCACCACTACCACCACCACCACCACCACCACCACCACCACCACCACCACCACCACTGACTATGACAAAACAAGAGCAAGAATAGCGACAACGGCAACAGCAGCAAGAGCCCCTGACCTGGCCCAGGAAATCACAGTGATGTGTCGGTCCCTCGAGTGCTCTCCTTGGGTCTTGACCTATGCGACTTAGCGACCTAAAAGAAAGGCCTCATGAACAATGACACATCTGTAACAAGCACTTGAAGCGTGGACAAAGCCTTCACTGTAGCGAGTATAGTGTGGTATCTAGAAAGATCTATATTGGGATCACACTCAACGTCTTTTGCAAGCATTGATTCGCTATCAGAGTTTCGGACTGAGCAAGACTAGCTATACATACTGCCTTCCAAACTGCTGGTGTCAACACAACATGGTGAACTCCTGACCTCCAGGCCAACAAATAAACAATTCCATCAACCTGGTGAGCCTCCACGAATCCTCCTCCAGGCCTGCCACTGGTCTTCATGCCTGCAGCACCTCAAAAGCGGCCGCAGCGGATCTGAGGAAGAGCTCCGGGAGCGCAACGTGGCCATCAACGCCTGCAGTAGGGAGCTGAGGCGGAGGGACGAATCCTGTCCAGGACGGAGGACACTTGAGGACATGGGGGTGGAATCCGTGGGGGATTCAGATAGATTCATTGATCAATCAGATAGAGAATGCAGAAGGTGAAGCCAATTCGGAAGGTGGAGCCATCATATAGGACTTTTGTTGCATGAGGCATCATGAGGCCATGGATTCAATCCTCTCGCACCCGAACCTCGTTGGATTGATCCCACACCTCCTGCGACTCCCTTGTTACAGTCCTCATGGCTTTCAACCCCATTCAGAGCCATCCAGCCATTTGTTGACCGCAGAGTATTCCTCCAAACTCCCAATGATTGAACATTTATTTACTGTATGTCCTCCTGAAACCGGACTCTGTTATGGAAAGTTGAAACGCACCTCAAAGTTTAGCTTTTGTTCAATCAATGTTGGGAAGCTAAGAGACTGAGCATTAGTTGATTAATGTGCAACCTTTCTGCCTCCAGGAAAGTGTTTCTTTTTGTCATATACAGATTACTGTGGTCATCCCGGAATCCACCCCAAGTGAGTGTTCTTTTTGTGCAGGCCTACGGTATCCTGCGGTTCAGATGCCACCCCAATAGAGCACAGGGGTCCCATGTTTTGAATCTGGTGCGTTCCCTCCATAGACCAAAGACCATTCGGCGGTCAATGCTGAGCTGCCTTTCAGGTGGCAGCGGGCTTGCACACTGCTTCATCAGCTTCCCATAGATCAAATGCAAGGCCGGGTGCACCGTGGGTCGAATACGTGTCCTCCCAGAACAAGACAAAGAGGTGGCACTATCAGTGAGCCTTACATGGTGTACATCGCAGCCCTTTCTTCATCCTCCAGGTTCGATGGGCAAGACAGACGCCGGCTAAATTTGAAACATCTTCCCAGATAGTATATAGTGTGGGGTGGGCGGTGGTGTTTCCCACTTCATATCTGAGGAAGGCAGACGGGTGTTTCCTACACGGTTCTCATCGAAATAGGACAGAGAGGTCGTGTTGCAACATACTATTATTGTCAGGAGGCACTTCATACAAGTCATGGTGAGAAACACACAAAAATTGTCATTCATGATTCATGCCCTGGCGGTAACCACATTTTACATTGACCAGGCCTGTTTGGTATCCAATCACATGTGGTTGGCATCGGAAGCAGTGCTGTCTTTAAATCCAGAATCCATAGGCGAGCTACTCCTTGTACCTAGTGCTGAATCATGTTGAATTCGTGCTCCAAAAGAAACAAGGCAGTCTGGTGAGCTACCACTCCGCCCTGCTCTCGCTCCCGTGGCGCTCCGGGCTGGAGATCCTAGAGCTCCTTGGAGGTCACGGCAGGGCAGGGGTCAACATCATAATTGGGGGGCATCGCAGCTGGACCCTGACTCCTGACCTTGACATTCTGTTTACCCACGACTAACCATGCTTTAAGCCAAAAACATTCTCAACATCCATGACTGCATGACTGAGGTAAAGGTACACTTCAAGAATCACTCGTTCGAATTGTTTGGAGGGCGAAACGTATAGTTGTTTGGGGAGAACGATCATTTGGCCTGCCCGTACCACCGCCTGCTTCGTTTTTGGAGGAGTACCTCTTTGCTCGTTGGACACCTGCCATGCCGTTCTATATTCACTTCGTTTGGCAGCCGCCTGGCACGCTGCACTGCACTTGCTTTGGACCTTAGGCACGGGGTGAACTGGAGGTATGTGGACGTCCATCACCTATTTCTGGGATCAAAAGAACCTACCGGTCAACAGGTAGGATGTTTCATTGCCTTTCTGGCTCTGACAAATCAGTTCCCTCAAGTCACCCGGTTGAGGGGTAAATGTATACACCCCAAGTCACTAACATGGTCATCCAAGGGGCCATTGTCCACTTCCATGATTGTTTCAGGGAGTGTATATAGTTGTTTTTTGTGCGGGGATATAGTAGAGATTTCCAGTGGAGAATTAACGTTTTTCCAACACGGTTGATCACCACCATGGAACTTATGTCAAAATAAATCGTCATGTCCTTCGGGTTGCGGTTTAATCAGGTGATGGACACTGGAGCCACCAAAAGCACGGTAAATCGTAATCCCAAACGCATTCAAAAAGTTGGTTTGGGTGGGTGCCAAAAGGGCAAATTGTATACATGTAAGCAAAAATGTACGCAATGGCAATATTATCTCTTTCGGGTGGTAGCAGCCATGGCCATAGCCTATCGTTTGCTTTCTTTCAACCCCTGATTCACCCTTGCCTCTTGCAGATCAGCCCGTCACAATGACCTACAACATGGTACTGGCATCCTCAGACTGGGCTGTGTGCCTGGTCGTGCTGGAATCTTGGTATAACATGCAATCCCAGTCCAAGAAGTGCACTAAAGACACGCTGTTTATTCAGTCAATCAGCGATTTGCCTCCTAATTGTATTGACCTTTGAAGATTGCGTGCAAGTACCTGTTGTTCAAGGTCATGTACTGAGTTTTGAAGGTAGAGGTTGTCCTTTGGGAACCCTTTTTTTAAATCTTCCCAAGCACTCCATGCATGTATTGGATTGGTCTCGGGTGTCTTGGTGTGTCAATGTAGGCAGCGTACGCATATACACATATATATATATATTACTATATACTATAACATATTCCAGTCCCATTGGAGTGTTTGGGGTTGTTTTGTTTGAACACCTGATTTGCTCATGGCCACGAACCACACGGCTCTAAACACCTGATCGTCGCCTGTGCAGAAGAAAGGGTATGCCTACCCATCTTAGTAAATGCTAGTAAAGACTGTTGCATATCTCCAGGGTTCCATTTCGATTTGCCATGCCTGGCTGTGAGGGTATCAAACACATGGGAAACGGGACTCCTTTCCGAACGACACCGCGGCGTTCATCCGGTCCGTCCTCCGGTCCTTCTCTGCGGTGGGAGCCAGTGCACCACGCGGGCAGTTTCATATCCTGGCATGAAGAAGTCCTTCCTTTCACGGCCTATATGGAAGTGGAAGGTAAATGCTAGCTAGTAATTACTATTACCATATTAATCTATTCTACATTAGACTCATAAGATCTCACCGCTGCAATTTCCAGGTCGACCAGTAAAGGTGCGTTTTCGTTTCAGTTCAGAGAGGTGTGAGTGTGGGGTCGCCAGACCAATCATCATCGTTGTGATCGTCATCGAAAGCACCGAGAGAATCCCATAGCACGCTGTGACACGATTTCCATACATGCTTCCTGAGATGTTATTTGATGGGAAACTGTCATTGGATGACCCGACCCAATCATGACAAACAGAATGTGTTGGGAACATTGATCTTGATGGTTTATCAATGTTTATCACCCCTTTACAAGGGCTACTTTGCCTAGGGGGTTGGATCTCGTTCGACGCGTGAGATGTACGAGTCTGTCGAGCTCAAGCTGGCTTCTTTGGCGCTACTGGTAGCGTCCTTGCTCCCAGTAAGCGATGCCCTTTGTTACTAGTTGCTTCTTATTACTAGTAGCAAGGCCAGGAGCTACTACTAGTAGTAGCGTCCTTGCTCCTAGTCTTTGGTCCTTTCATTTACTTCCAGTCCTTGTCCCGTCGCTCCGATCACTTCCGTCGCGAAATCACTGTTTGATGCTCGAACTGAGGAGAACATGCTCATGCGAGACCTGAAACCTGAGGCTTCGAGTGCAAATGGGACGAAGATCGACGAAGGCCCATTTTGGATCATTTTGGGTCAAGAGCTGGTCAACCCTGAAAAAAAAAAACAGGACTACGGCACTACGGTCAAAGCAAAGCACGTAGTAAAGATTAGTAAAGCATTACTGTATATTGTTATTGATACATGATTAAGTTTGGGTTATTTTTGTCAGGTTCTTCTATTTGCTTTTCTTGATTGGTTGGCCTTCAGGCACCACTATTTGTCGACAATCCTCTTGAAGAACTGCAACATCATTGAAAGTCGACGACCTTCATGGGCATCAGGAATCACACAAACGTTTTTTGTTCCAACAATGTTTTTCTTCCGGAATAGTTTGGTCTCAAAGTCTTTGGACGTGCCCCAACCAATGGGTACTATGTGGCTATTGCATCTCCCCATGTTGTCACGGCGAAGCCAGGGACACTGATCCGTCTGCAGCGGCGCAGCGGATCAAGCCGATTTGGCCCAAAAGTTCAGTCGACCTTTGAGGTTGAACAAGTCAGTTAGTTAATTGGTGAGTGGACATCATCATCCCAATTTTTTTCGTCTGTTCATGGTCACCTGGGGGGGGACGTTTTGGGTGTAAAAAACAACATCTCATCTTCACTTTGTTGATTCACTTCACCTCATCTGAGGATCTCTACACCTATGCCTCCCTGCTAAGCGCCTTTGTGAGAGCCGGACGCTGGCACCAGTGCCTTCACCTCCTTCAGCTCATGCGAAGCCAGGACGTCGGCACGTCGGTTCTCCGGCGAAGGGGACTGGCACCGGGACTGGTGTTGGTGTCGGAAGAGAGTGTGGAGCATACATGGTTGGAGCATGGAAGTGGGGTCCGGAGGGCCAAACTGGTGAGGTCTCATGAAAAACCTTCACACCCCCATCATCCCCCATCCATTTCAGTTGCTAGAAGTCGATCGAGTTCATCCTCGCCAGAAAATCCGAGCTTGGAACTTGGAGTGGTAAGTTCCTGCACCAGTGGGTATAGGAGAGGTGGCCGCCAGACATCCTGACATAGACTTTACTGGGCTGGCTTTGTGTACTAACAGCCTGCATAGAACTGGCTTATGGCTTTTCGCAGTATACTTTTACTCAGTTTGATCCTGGCTGGAAATGGCTGGCGTCCCCAGTCCCAGTGCACCCCGGGCGCTGCCAGGAACTCCCTCCAGACGCGCGCCTTTACTCCAACGTGTTGCAACATGCCATGCAGAGCACCATTCTTGCCACTCCACTACAGCGCTATCGACCAGCGAGCCTGGAAGAAGCGCTGAGAAGACAAAAGTGGCGAGGGCGCGATTAGCGAGACCAAGTCGCGAGGCGCTTCACATGCATAGCGAAGCACCACTTGCTTTGCTGTGAATTGATTATAAGAGATGGACATTTTTTATGGGTTTCAATGGGTTTCACGATGTTTCCCCTCAGGTGAGTGTCGCTTTTGGTTGTTTCGGATGGTCATTTGACCGGCCGCATGTTTGAAGCTGATGTTCGGACCACCTACCTACCGGAGAACTTCAAGCCTCGATGGGTAGGAGTGCTTTACATCATCTCACCGGATGGTGTGGAAGGTGTTGAGATTGCACCGTGAGTATAGTTCCAAGGCGCAATCAATGTGAGCAGTTGCCAAAACACCATGGTTTAGCTTAGTAGGGATTCTAACCGTATTCATACCAGATCATACCAGTGCACAATGGATGGTTCTACCAGGTTTTGGCAGGAGCTGTTTCCGCAGAATAACGTTTCAGAGCAACAGACACAGGTTCTTACATAGCCTCTACTTACCTGGAAAGGCGTATGAACACTTTTTTTTGTGCGAAGGCCGTATTTGGACAGAATTTATCGTATGGACATTTTAATTAACGAATTAGCGTATTTAGCCGTATGGACAGAAAAACAATACCGTACAAAAGCGTACCCATATGAAACCCAAAATTTATCAACTTTTTATCAACAAAAACCCAAACAATTATATTGATAAAACCCAATCAAACCCAATATTCGGAGGAACTCCAGAAAATGTGTCCATTTGACAAAAAAGGCCGGATGCACGGATTTTGTGTGCGAACGTGTTTGAACGAAAAAAATGCACATTTGGATTCCCTGGTAGGATTCGCAGGGTGGCTTGGGGGATATTCTTTTTTGATTTTCAGTGATTTGGGATCTACCGCCCCATGACTGAGGAGAGCCTCATCGGGCAACCTTTGCAGGGAAACTCAGAACGGTCAAGAGGGCAGATTCTTTTGGGACCCATGCAACTTATAGGCGGTTCGATGCGGTTCGAGGCTTTTGATGTGTTGCTGCTGTCACTCCGCGCCAAAAAGCTACCGCAAGCGAACTTCCCAGTGGCTGCGGATGGTTTTTGTTTGCTACAGTGTGACACCATTCACACCCCACATCAGCCACTGGAATCGAATCTGTTTTTTCTGGACCAGAAACTACTCAACACGCGGCCTTTTCCCACCACAAGGATCCACAAGGCAGGTGACCCGCTGCTCACAATTCCTTTCAACATGTTCAACGTACACGGAGTGTGGTTCCCACCACAAGAGTGAGAGTGAACTTGAAACTCTTTCGAGTGGATCCCCAAGGTTTCCCCATGTGAGCTACCGACACGCGAGCCTCATGGTGAACTTTGGCAAGACACCGGTCGCCGACTCAGTGTCATGTTCGGTGCAGCTTTTTTCAGGAATGTTCGACCACGCGCGAAGGGTGCATTTCAGAGGATTACAGGGCTGCATCGGGTGTCACCTATAGGGTGTCACTTAGGACATACTCCTTCTCGAAGCTAAGCACAAACCCTGCAGTCACGCACTTCACACTACTAGGAACAAGAAGCTACTAGGGCTCCTGGCATCGCTTCTAGGAGCAAGGACGCTACTAGGAGCTCCTGGCCTTACTACTAGGCACAAGAAGGCTACTAGGAGCAAAGGGCATCGTACTTGTTCGCTTTCCAGCTTTGACTCGCCCGCAGTTCACGAAGATGCCCTTCGTTTGCCGCATGGTGGCAGACGCTGCGTCCGGGAGCTGAGCGAAGGGGACCAGAGGGGACGCACTTATATAGATGGACTCGGGTAGTCTGAGGTGTTACCAGAGTGACAATCGATGACCTAGGCTTGGAGATGACGTGGGGAATTTGATTGGTAAATTGCTGAAGGAGTGAGAGCTGATGGAAACTAGCTTCGCAAGATGTGATGTGTCTACAGATCCAATCATTTGTGTGACTTGGGGCTGAGCCTTCAGTCAACATTAAGTACCGAACCCACAGAACACAAGGTGACAGTGGATCTAAGGCACAAAAAACTAACTTCCAGTGGGTCCTCTAGCTAGAGCATGCACTTAATCTGCCACAGAAACAGTGGTTCTATTCTATATAATAGTTGTAATTGAGTGTTGTTTTAGTTGTTTTTCTCAAAGGTTCAGTATGGTCCAGCCCAAAAACCATGCCAAGAAGCCATTCCTCGGAGGATCCATCGCAGACGTAGAGCACGGGTCCGAACACGGGTCCGCTCGGGTCCGGTCTGGTCTCCAAGGAAGATCTCCAGTCTGAACACAAAACGCGGACCGGACATCTTCGTCGGTTGGTCTTGAAAAGGCTGAAAGGACCTGGACCTAATATTGTATATCCAGTTGTATATCCTAATGCATACCAATATGATTTGCCTTCAGAGATTCACAGTGCATTCTTTTTTACATGGAAAAAAGAATGCACTGTGAATCTCTGAAGACAAATCGACAAACATTTTCTTCTCTTACTCTTACCCTTACTCCTACTTTTCCTCCGTTAGGTCAGTGAACGCAGTGGTGACGCCCTCGCCGATGGGTAAGGATGGCAAGGCGGGCCAGAGGGACATGGGGACTTCATTCACACGATTGAAGCACCTTTGAAGGAGGAGTTGCGGCACCACACTGAACATCTAATAACCCTCACCTGACAGGTGGGCAATAACACATCAATCTATTCTAGGACCATCCAATTGGTGCCCCAATCGAGATCCCTAAGCAGTGCAGGGTAGTCTATTGGACACCCCAACCAGATGGTGCAGGTTGAAGCCTCCAAACTCACCCAACTACTGGTACCTTATCACACCGGGACGAACATCATTGAACGCTTTTGAGCCCTCCGAGTGGTGCCAAGGGCAGATGGATGATGAATGTACCCTTGCTTCATCTGTTCCATGGAGTCAATACATGTGCAAACACACCTTGTGATGTAGAGAAGAAGCCCGTTGGGAGCATCCGACTGATCTCTTGCAGTTGCACATCGAGAGGAATGTGACCATGAAATGCCCTGAAACATCCTAAAACTGTTTTAGTGAAGGAAGGTTTTTTTCATTTTTTGATAGTCAACAAAGACATATATAATATATATAATATATTGACATTGATGTAGTGTTAACTAGATCGAAGCCGGGTGGTCAGAGTGGAGGCGAGCGATTTTTTCGTCAAAACCCAGGGCGCAGGAGGTTCCCTCATCTTCGATTCATTCGGATCTTAAGTCACCCTCCAGTGTGTCCCATGACCTGTAACTGTCGATACAAGATGATCAATGTTTTGAGGTGTCGGCCTTTACTAACCTAACCATCATCCACTGGTCACTGGGCCCAAGGAATGGGATGCACCCAATTTGCCAATAACTGCTGTTGTCAGGTCCCGAAGGTTACCGCGGTGTCGTCCGGGAAGGTACCTGTGTCCAAAGTGGTCGAGGATGATTGGTAGCATGTTTGGATCATTTTTGGGGTACCGTTTTGTGTACCTTTCCTGAAACAAAGATGGAAGTGGCCAATCAGTTTTTATCTCGAGGAACCTGGTCCGACGAAGAACCATGTTTCACGACGCGGCACGCACCAGTGTGAGCTCCTGATGCCCGTGGCTTTCCCAGATGAAGGTGCCACCCTCAGGTGCTGAAGGTCTGGAGAAAAACGTGTTTTTGTGACTTTGCTATGTTAGAGCAACATTTGTTCCATCAGGTGCCTTCATGTGCCTTCAAAACTTTTTAGAATGACAAGTGCGCAAGAACATTGAATATATGCCGGGAATAATCCAATCCCTGGCACTTTACGACCAAAACAACACGATGGCAAGGTTCCCTAACATTGGGAAATGTTAGAGGACTTAATTGTTTGACAATGCAATAGTCGCATAACATTACTGTAAACACTAAAACCCTACCTCGTATGACGAATCATGTTCAGCATTCTCGTCATTTACCTTTGGTCGAAGACAGAGGACTGGGGTGTCCCTGTTTCAACCGAGAATGGACGGCCACTTTTAATGAGTTGTAGACCGCTACAATTGTGAGATTCATCAAGCAGCTGAATATTGTATGTATAGTTTAGTTGGGAATAAAATTATTCCTAGGGGAAAAGGGGTTGTAGGATGTTGTAGGTCATGTTCCCACATGTGTGGTCACAACTCTTTTCCTGTCTAGTGTTACAGGAGCTATCACCCATTCAAAGGTTGGAATTTTGTTCACCCGCTGAGACTAGCATGGACCCTCAGTTTTCTTGATTGTAACGCAGTAATGCTGGCAGAGGCAGACCTGAGAACCAGATGCGCCTGCCCCACATGAGGTACCTTCGATTGGCTCGACAGCTTTCTGGAGAAGAATCCTCAGTACGTCGAGTTGAGTGAAAGGCCTCCGCTGGCGTCACGTCACGTCGGATCGATCAATGCAGAAGGGACCGGTGCTGGCCCAATGAAGGGAAGCATCGGCTTGGGATGAGCAAATTAGGAAGCTACTAGGAACAAGTGCATCGCTACTAGTAACAAGTGCCTTACTAGTAGTAACAAGAAGCTACTAGGAACAAGTTTGACCAAGACCTGTTGACTCTCCCCATCGGTTCCCAAGACCTACTATGTACCACGCCCTGTTCGCACGTGGAAGCTCCGACACCGGTGTCGGACCGTCTTTTTGGGGGACTCAATGGAACTATGGAACTGAAAACTGCTCCGCACATGGCGACAATCAAGCGCGATATCAATCCTCATAGGGATCCATTGCCACCCTTTGAGAAGGTGTTTGGAGAAGTTTCAGCGGGGACCCTCAAGTTTGGAGGGTTCAACAATCTGAGAAGGTGCTTGGATCCATCTATGATATCCATTTTGTCACCTATTTGATTTGCATGGACTGGGTTGTGGCTAAGATGAAGCTGCGCTTTTTGTTTGGTCGTTCCATGCGTTTTTTGGGCCCCATGAGCCTTCAATCCTGCAAGGGAGATGAGTTCAACATCATTCAACCAGTGGTTCGGGGTGCATTCAAAATAGTTGTCGCGTAGTTCGCTACATCCACCTGCATTCGCATGG